GTTTGTTTTTCCTTTTTCCCTTTCTTCTTCCTCTCCCTTTCCTTTAACCTTCTGCAAACCCTAATTCCTAATATTAAATTCGAGGATAACACAACAAATCAACAAATTAAACTCAATAGATATTTGACCCAACGGCTGCTGGGTTCAAAACGAAACCCAGAGCCTCACTTGCAGGAACTCAGCAGCTGCTCAAATCCAACGCTTGCTGGGTTCGATTTTGAACCCAGCACCTGCAAATGAACCCAACACTTGCAAAAACCTAGCATTCGAAATTGACAAATCGAACCCAGCATCGAACCCAACACCTAACACCTATAGTAATGCCTTCTTCATCTTCATCAATCAATTTTTTCATCACAATCAAACAACAAAATCCGAAAAACAAAAACATAAATTTTTTTAAAAAAATTTTTTGCACCTGGGTTCACAAGGAACCTAAGCGTGATGGGTTTGTAGGAACCCAAACGCGAACCCAGCACGCTTGGATTCCTTGCGAACCCAGCGCCTGGGTTCGCAAGGAACCGAACCCAAGCGTGCTGGGTTCCACCAAACCTAGGCATGCTGGGTTTGGTGCGAACCCAGTGACTGGGTGGGTTCGAAGGAACCCACGCCTGCTGGGTTTCGAGGGGAAAGAGAAGAGAAAGGGGGAGGAGAAAGAAAAAGGGAAAGGGGAAGGAGAAAGAAAAAAGGAAAAAATAAAAAAGAAAAAAAATTTTAAGTTTTATTTTTCATAATATTTTTTTATATTATTATTTTTTCCACATCATCACTTTTTGGTCTTCCACGTGGATTGCTATATGACATGTCATCTGGTAACCGTGAAGTAACAGGCCACGTCACACAGTTTTTAACGAAAGGACCAAATCAGGGTAAAAATGGTAAACAGTAGGGACTAAATCAGGGATTTTTTTAGTTTAGGAACCAAATCGAGGGTCCATACAATAGTTTAGGGACCAAAAAGGGGTTTTAACCTAAAAAATTTATATGCAATGAAATAATCTTGAAAAACTAGGTTACAAAACCGCACTATGTGCAGCTTGTTTGGATTGTATTGTTTTAATAATTGTTAAATATAATAATGTTAGTTTATAATTAAAATTAATTTTTAATTAATAAATATAAAAATCATTTCAAATAGATATTTAACTTTCACATTAATTAATTTTTTTTTAGATAAATATAATAAAACAGTTCATCAAATCTTATTATTATTATTATTTTTTTGGCATGTATAACTATTACTATTATCTGTTTCCTCTATCTTAAATGCATGTATTTAGAAGGTTTTAAGTTAAAACATAAAAGACATAGTTCATTATCATTATTTTTTTGGCATCTTTTCATTTACCTATATTTTACCTTTTATTATTATTTTTACAATACCATCTCTTAGTTTACCCTTACTAATTTTATTATTATATTTATCTATTCATCTATTTCGCCTCGCTTTTTGTCTTTCCATATTAATAAATTTTTTTGTTAGTATTCTTTTTCATGTTATCATTCTATTATATTATTCCTTTTTTAATCACTTATCACACATTTATGGATCATTATATATCTTTTTTTTATTAAATTTCACTTCTTTTTCTCCCGTTATTTAAATTAGACATTCTAAATTAAAATTTAAAAGTTATAACTTTTAAATATTATTTTACTGATACCTTTCTACTTTCGTACCAATATGCTTCCATCTCTTATTTATTTTTCTTGCGATACTATTTTTTAATTTGCGCTCACTTTTTTCACTTTAATCTATATCTCCCTTACTTTCCATTTCTATATTAATAATTTGTTAGTTCTTATTATTTATTTTCTTATCCTCCTCTCTAATATCATTCTTGCTTAGTTACCCTTTGGATCATCATTTATCATTATATATATTTTTACCCAAATTTTCTCCTTCTATTTATTATTAGATATTTTTTGTTTTATCATGAATATTACAATAATATATAAATATATTAAAATTACAAAT